GGGAGCCCCTTTTCATGGGCCACTCTCCATGGCACACCACATTGCCCTGCCTGTCCACATGAATATCGCTCAGCCTGATCCCCTGCTGATAGGACGGCGCCGGGTATTGCTCCAGGTCCGGGACGTCATTTCGAAATTGCAGCCCAGGAGTAGGCGGCTCCGACTCGAGCCGCTGCGAGCCTCGGTGTCGCAGCCGGAAGCCGTTGCGCAGTGGCTTGGGCACAAAGTGCGACCGCATGTAGTCGCGGAATGTCTTGGTCGTGCCAAACACGACAAACGTCAAGAGACTGGCCGTCACGCCGGGGATGAAGACGAGCAGATCGGACTGCAGTCGGTCCATGCCGAGGTCGGGCTCGGTCCCTATGGATTCGAGGTTATTGCGCCGCGACGCGCTGACCTGGAAGACGATGGTCACCATCTGGAAGGCGCTTTCAATATGAGTCAGTCTCTGCGAACGCACCGCTGTGGCGCAAGTGGATTCCCAGAACTCACCTCATGGCGAGCGCGGCGATTGTAAAGCGCACGACGAGCCACTTGTCATATATGCTTTGGCGCCGCGGCCGGACACCGCTTGAGACGGTGACGTTATCGACGGACCCCTCGGATGGCTTGCCGTAGTTCACGTTCCACGACAGCACATTTCTGCGCACGTGAATGTATTTCACGAGAATAATCAGTAATATGATGATACTACCGGAGATACAAGTAAGGACTGCTCGAATGTCAGTATTTCCAACACAGGTCGAGAAAGGTTGGTCATACGCAGAAAGTCTGCCATCCCGATGAACAAGATCGTATTGGTCTGGATAGCATCGATGCGGAGGAGGCTGAGCATGACAGCCGGTAAAATGACCGCGATGACTTTCGAAACGGGGTTGGCTTTGCCTCTGAAGGATTCAATGAAGCTGAGTTGAAAGATGGACTGTGCGAGTGCAGCGGCCCTAGGTGGTTGTTAACAGGGCGTGTCGAGATCCACGCGACCATCCCAACGTACCAGAAGAACGTCGCCATGGCTGTGACCTGATAGGAGTAGAATTCTGGGAGGTCGCTGTCAGTTACGATGCCGCGTAGTTACAGGAGCTGGAAGACAAACGAATATAGAACAGCACAAGGTCAAGGCCAGCGGACTGCCCCGCGAGGGCCAGCTCGGGGTTTCCCACATTGGCCAGCGCATTCGTATGCTGTTGGGTCTTGATGTCACGCCATCGCACAATGGTGTGAAGTTGCTGGGCTATTGAACCAGCAGATCCCAAGCCTGTCGATATGGAAATAAGGGCAACATCTGGGGGGGGGGGAGGGGCCGATCAGCGACTTGCTCCGGGACCACGGCGTCACCAAGACCCTCCGGCTCGAGAACTCACAGCTTGCTCGTTCGCGATGGACGCAGACCAGCCATACCATCAACACACTGCAGAATAAACAAAAGAACGAGTACACGAGAACGCCAATGGCGACTCCCAGCTTCTCATCGGGAAGCTGTACGGCCATTCTCAGCCCGTTGTCATTTTGCTCGCCTAGACCCCGGTGCGATCGATTTGCAGTGTAGCGGGCCGCGTCAAGAAACAAGGGAGCAGAGGAGCGCGCAGGAACGGGGGAGGGGTGAAAGGAGAGGACAAGGTAGATAATAGAGGAGATCGCAGATGCTTAAGATCTCCGCAAGGGTGCTTGCGTGGAACTACGGGGTGCATCCACAACCAGGCTCACCACGGACGTCCTCGAGTCGAGACCGGAACATGGATAGCAAGGTAGTCCTGGTACGAGATCTGCGGCGCATAATGTTTGCTCAGAAGCTGGGGCCAGAAAATTTGACGATCGGGGGGGGGGAGGGCGGGCGGATGATTCCAGATGGATGGTGAGGCGGGAAATTTTCGCAAACCCCCCTCGCCAGTAGTGAGACCACTCGAGTCGACCAAGACAAACATCGCGAATCGGAATGCAGACCTGCTGAGACCAAGTTTGCCATGTCCTCGTCAGTTCCCCCAGATCCCCGTCGATGCTGAGTCGATAGTCTCTGACGCGGCGCCTTTCTTCCCACCGCGAACGGGTTGGGCGGGTCTGGTGAGAAACCACCGGTCCGACAAGCTCAAGGTGCGTCCTGCAGGTGGTGGTGCACTTCTGAGGCTACCAGCTGAAACGATGCCTGTCACGACCGGAAAGCTGGCCCCCTGGATGAGATGACAAGCGACTAGCTGGGCGCTAGATCTTATTGGTGATCTCCCACGGATCTTTCTTACCAAAAGGGCCCAGCCGAACGAGCGCTGCAACCGTGTTGGTCATGGTGGTGTGGCATGGAGAGTGCCGTTGGAGCGTTTTTTTCTTAGTGCACATTTTAGCTGCCTGTCGCACGGCGACAGCGTCCGAGCGAAAGCATGTCGGGAGCTCGACACGCGTGGTCATAGGCCGAACCGTGGCGGGCCCGGCGGGCATCGGGGTCCCTTACGTGAAACTGGCCACATGGCTTTTCGTGGGTAGCCCGATGATTTATTTTGGCCACTGCCTTCAACGGGAGTCGTCAATCCGGATGGAGACCATCAATCGCACACGACACACGAAACGATGCTTGGGCCTGTTCCCCATGTGGCATAGCAGGCTTCTCGAAGTCGTCGGGGTCGAGAATGTGTGGCCGACTTGGGTATCAAGTAATGATGGAAATATGAAAAAGACCAGACGACAGGCAAGTTGGTGCGGTGGTATACGATCGTGTCCCGAAGACCTGGATCCGAGGTTGCAATCGACCCGATCTGCCCTTGTCGCCTGGCATGTCTTTGACCCTCATTTCGGATGGACAGCCGCAGGCGAAAACGACGCCACCTCAGCGCATCAGCAATTTGTCATCTGAGCCGGAACGGTTTTTTCCTTTCTTTCTTGAATTTCGGTCACTGTTGGGAGACACGTTCAACGTTGGGGCATTCCAAGAGGCGACGAATGCGTAGAGGATCCAGGTGGATGTGGACAGGAGAAAAATAATAAATGGATCAAACAGCTTTGGTCCCGGACGATGGGTGTGTTTCGGCCATGCACTGCCACAGCCAGGGGCCCGAGATGTGGCACAGCTGCAACAAGACCTCTGACGCGTCTCGTCGCGTGCACTACAACGCTTGCTGCCTTTGATGTACTCTGAGCTTGAACAACCCCACCAACCCAGCTGAGAGCCTCGGAGACAGCTCCCAACCCAAACCACAGTCCTGGATGAACATCCCTCGTGGTCCATACTTCGACATCCGCCCAGGCATCCGACACCATCTCGCCCAACCATGGCGAACGTCGCACTGCACTACCGCGACGGCAACCGGGCCTTCCTCCAGGCCTTCATGGCCCGAGGCGCCCTGACGTTCGAGGACGCCCGACCGATTTTGGCGGCCATCTTCTCGGCCGACGAGAACCAGCTGGTGACGGAGGACAAGGTCACACGTCAAGACTTTGACTCGTACGTGGCCGCCGCCACGGAAGCGATATCCTTCTTCGACTACGAGATCCGCAGCTCGGTGCACCAGGCGACGAGCAAGCGAGTCTTTGCGCTCGTCAACACAACGTCGGACCCCACGACGCAGCTCGCGACGACGTACGCGCCGGACGAGTTGAGCTTCGTCAAGCGCGTGCTGGACGCCATGTTCGACACGTACAACACGCCGCGCATGGAGTGCATGTGCCTCGACAGCATGCAGGTCATCAAGCTGGCACGACCGCCGAAATCCCGCCATGACAATCCCAGCCATCACGAGGAAGCAGAGGAGGAGAACGGAGACGGCGGGGGGGCCACGCAGGCGCAGACGCAGACGCAGGCGCCCACGGACAAGGGCCTCAAGCACAGCGAGGTCGAGGCCATGGCGGCCAAGCTCGTCAGCGAGGGGTGGCTCGAGAAGTCGCGCGAGGGGTTCTACAGCCTGAGCCCGCGCGCGCTCATGGAGCTCCGGACGTGGCTCGTCGAGTCGTTCAACGACGCCGAGGCGGCGGCCGGGGACTGGCAGCGCATCAAGTTTTGCGAGGCGTGCAAGGACATCATCACGCAGGGGCAGCGGTGCGCGGCGCGGGATTGCAACATGCGGCTGCACGACATGTGCGGAGACGCGTACTGGCGGGCGCGGCGGGAGAAGAAGTGCCCCGCGATGCGCGACGGCCTGGACGGGGGAGCACTTTGTTGGCGAGAGGGCGATCACAAGCAAGGAGGCCTACCAGAGGGGACGCAGGCGGAGCGGGCACCAGAGGGCGAGCGCCGTGGACGAAGTCATGAGGGAGGAGGGCGAGGCCAGCAGTGAGGAGGATGACGAGCAATGAGCTTCCGTGAAACGAGATGATACCACGGGACATTTAGAGTTGGAGAGCGAAGAAGCAGTCGAACACACGAGATACCCCCCCCCCAAACCAACGAGCTATTTTGCCGGTCGACAGTCAACCTCTTGCATTTGCCCCTGGTTGGACCCTGATCATCCGCCGTGCGTGCACAGCCACCGTCGGCATGTCATGGTGCAAGAGTGGCACTTGAAAAGCACGAGGCGAGTAGAGCGAATGAGAGGTAGCCAACGTCTGGGCCCAGCTTCCAATGCATTCTGCCCGGCCTCCCAGAAGGGGCCAGACGGGGCGATCGGCGCTGCTGGTACTGACCTCGCCTGGGCTCTTGGGGGCGAGACGTGCCAAAAGTGCTCGTTCCAAGCATTTTGCAGGTGGTAGGTGGCTGGCGATCAGCACAGCAGGGAAGGGTTCCCACCTCTGGGGCTCGGTACTTGCTCCGGGGCGGGGCCACAGCTGGCACAGCGCTGTCCACTCGCTCAGGCGGCTGGCTGGCCGAACCCTGAAACTGCGGTACCTCTGTTCGCGCGGCACCAGCACCACCTCTTCATGTACCTCCAAGCCGCCGGGAGCTTGCCGAGCTCGCCCAGGGAGGGCGCCAACAGCAGTGGTCGAATGACATCACGCAGCTTCAGGGTGGCTGCGCACGCTTCCAGGTTCGCTCGCGTCCGTCTACCTTGCGCCTGCCTGCCCAATGGCTTGCGTCTTGCTCGCTTTCTTACATCAACTGCCAGCGACGCCCTGAACAGACGTCAGACATACAGGGCACAGGGGCGAGACAAGCGTTTAGTCAGAAGTGCTCTCTTTTCTTCTCTTCTTCTGCTGCATGCGAGAGAGGGAACCGAAGCAAACCATCGCCATCTGCTGTTTCTTTATATTGAACAAACGACCCCTCCTCACCTCTGCCCTTTCTCTCCATCTCTCTCCCACCGCATACAACGCATACACCCACCCACCCACTTCCCATCGGCATTTGCCCTTCGCCCATCGCCACACCGCCGCGATGCTCGAATACATCAGCTACAAAAAGTACAAGAAGTACAAGACAGATAAGGACGCCAAGGACGCAGTGGCCGCAGAGCATGAGCATGAGCATCAAAACCAGAGCAGCTCGAGGCCATCGGCCTCCCGCACCAACTCTCGCTCACAGCTGGCGCAGGAGCCTGGTCCCATTCTCGACAAGGACGACGAGGCCTTCTTTGCTTCCATTCTGAACTCGGACGAATACGACGGCCCGGCACCGCCTCTACCGCCACGCACCGCCAGCACGTCCGATATGAACTGGGACTCCTCCGACGAGTCGACCATTCGCGGCATCCAGAACGCCAAGGCGGCGCCGGCAGCGCTGCCGACCAAAGAGAAGGAGAAGGAGAAGAAGTCGCACAACCCCATCTCCTTCCTGCTCCACCGCAAGGACAAAGACAAGGACAAGCAGCTGGCCGTCGTCGAGCCGAAGAAGGTCGACCCGTCCGAGGAGGCCCGCGAGCGCGACGACCTCTCCCGCGTCCTCGACGACCTCAACCTCGGCGCCCAGAACAACAAGGCCTTTGCCCTGTCGGCCGAGTCGAACGAGCTCGTCCGCAAGTTCACCCTCGTGCTGAAGGACCTCGTCAACGGCGTGCCCACGGCCGTCGACGACCTCAAGGCCCTCGTCGACGACCGCGACGGCACCCTCAAGAAGAACTACGACAAGCTCCCCAGCAGCATGAAGAAGCTCGTCGCCGGCCTCCCCGACAAGGTCACCAAGCAGATGGGGCCCGAGATGATGGCCGCCGCCGCCGAGAGCCAGGGCATCAAGCGCGACCCCAAGGCCGACAGCGCGGACATGAAGAGCGCCGCCAAGAGCCTGCTCATGCCCAAGAGCCTCAACGACCTCGTCAGCAAGCCCGGCGCCATCATCGGCATGCTCAAGGCCATTGTCAACTTTTTGAAGCTGCGCTGGCCCGCCTTTATCGGCCTCAACGTTGTCTGGAGCGTGCCATTTTCCGTACGTCGTCCCCGTTGCGCCCCCCTGGGTGTTATGAAGATGCTCTGGTTGATGAGACGAGTGCTAACCTGCAATCAGTCCCTCCTTCTCGTGCTCTGGTACTGCCACAAGGCGCGGGCCGCGGAGGTTCCGCCTTGAGCGCGAGAACTCCGGAGCGCAACGGCCCCCCCCCATCGACGGTGCCGCCCGCGTCGAGGAGCTGCCCGACGACCCCATGCTGCCGGCCCCCGTGTCGCGTGCCTCGTCCTACCGCAGCTCCAGCAGCCGCAGCCACCACCGCGACCGCGAGAGCCACGGCCACGGCCGCCGGTCGCGCGACTCGCGCAGCGGCAGGGAGTCGAGGAGCGGGCGCGTGTCGCCGCTGAGCGAGGTCGACCCTGCCCTTGAGAGCCCTCGTCGCAGGCGGACGCACAGGTGATTTGTTGGCTTGCCAATCATGTGAGGTGCGAGAGGGGGTGGCATAGACTTGGATGAACGGATTCGATGGATTTGGATGAAAATGACCCCCAGGATACCCCAAATGTTCTCTTAATACATAGTTTTGATGAATTGCTATGACAGTCATGAAGTTTCAAAAGAGCATCAGTGCCCCATTTTGTCCGCCGTCCGTTCATGCCTCATGGTATATATTGTGTCCCAAAACAACAAGCAAGCGACGTACTGCATCACCTTGATCACCAACACCAAACGCCAGCCCAGGGTATCTCTCTCTCTATCACCAGAAAAAAAAAGCCAAGCAGCCACACACTGCCGACAAGCCCCTCAATCATCCTGCACGACCTCCTTGATCTCCTCCTGGTCAGGCAGGCCGACGTCGTTGCCGCCCTTGCGCTCGTCCTTGGCGTGATCGAGAACCTGTCCGCCGTCCTGCATCCAAAAGTCCACCTCGTCAATAATGTCGTAAACGACGTCCTCGGCAATCTGCTCCGTATAGCGGTCGGACACGGGCAGCAGCGGGGCCTGCACGTCGTCGACGCCCCCCATGGCCATGTCTTCTTGGCCAGGGCTGGCGGCAGGGGGACACCAAAAGTCGGGTCCAAAGTTGACCTCGGCGGCGCCGCCGCGGAAAACGCTGACGGCGGGGTAGTACCCCAGCATGCCGTCGTCGAAGCCCTCGCGCGCGCCGGGGGCGGCGAGTGGCTTGGAGGCTGGCGGAAGAAAGGCGAGGAGGTCCTCAAAGGCGGTGCCCATGGGCACGCCGTTCTTGTACACCTTGATGTGGGACCCCGGCAGAGTGCGCAGGGCGGGTAGGGCGTGGACGGGGTTGGGCTGCTCGGCCGAGTCGGGGTTGACGACGGGGTTGGGGCTCATGAGGTCCTCGAGCTCTTTGCACGTGTGTAGTCGATCTGCTCGAAATAGATGTGGGCCTTGAAGCGATGGGGATGCGGTCGCGCACAATGTTGGGGGCCTCGCTGGTTCCGCCGTGGGGATCGCAGGAAGCGGACGTGTCGAGGTCGACGGCGGGGTTGTAGCGACCTGTGACGACCTTGCGGTGGAGATGCTCAGAGGGCAGCTGAATCTCGAGGCCGATGACGTCGCCCTCTTGAATGTCCTCGCCGGCAGGGAAGAAGTCCTTGGGCCGGGACATGTAGACCTTCTGACCAGCCTTGTCGCGGATGCCGTAGCTATAGGCATCGAAACCGACAGGCGCGTCGACGGCGGCCTCGCGACGCGCGAACCCCATGCGAACGTGGCCGTTGGACTCGGGGTCGCCAGGCCCGGGGTCCTTGACGATGCCTCTGTTGATCTTGACCTCGTAGTAGAAGCGGCCCTGGCGGATGGCGACGTTGGCGCGGGTCATACGAAAGCCCTTGTGAGTGGTGATGTGGCGCCCGGACTGGTCGAAGAACATGTGGGTGGCCGAGTCCTCAAAGCTCATGTGAGGCCCATGGGGTAAGGGCTCGGTCTGGCGGTAGTAGAGGGACGAGGGAAAGGCGGGATCGGCGATGCAGTGGGTGTAGTGGTAGCTCTTCTTGTTGTAGACACTAGGCAGTCAGAGTCAGGCGCTGGGGTCGCAATTGGAGCAGGAGCGACGTACTGGTCAGAGGTCTCGAAGAAAGCAATCTTGCCCTGTCGGTCGAGGGAGGGTACTTCGTGGTGGGAGATGAAGACGGGACCACGGGGCGGGTCGAAGTCGGTCTGCTTCGCCGCGGGCAGCTTATACCGCAGCGGGCCAGACTCGGAGGACGAGGGCTCTTCCTTGTCTCGAGAATTGGCATTTTTACTCTTGCTCTTGGGGTCAGGGGTGCCGCGGTTGCTGTCGCCGCCAAAGGTGACTTTGGACTCGCGCTTCTTGTACGACTCCTTCTTAGCCCGCTTGTCGCGCGTGTGGGCAGGCATGTCGTCTGTGGACTGTGCCTGTGGCGTTGATCGTACGTCTGGGTTCAGGGGTGATGGGACTGAGGGAGCATGGTCCTCCTCGATTGCTCGTTTCTGGGGAATGAAAACTGCCGTGGTCGTCGCCGTTGTCGCAGGAGCGAAGGAGGTGCTGGGGGTCGAATCCCGCGGAGGCGTGTCTGCGTCAGCCATGGCGAAGTGAAAGAACAGAAACGGAACAGAATGAACCAGATGAAAGTCAATCAGCGAAGCAACAAAGGGGGTGCACCAGGCAGGTAAAGGGGGGTTTGCGTGGGCGGGTGATGTGAAAGGTTGACAGTGAGAAGGAAAGATTTCGGAATTGTCGCCAAGTCAGAATTGACGAGCTCCAGGGTAATGGTACCTAGGTAGGTAGGTAAGGGTAGGAAGCTGGGCCAGTCACGGTCAGGGCAGCGCCTGCTCCCCGCGTGGCGAGTGCGTCCGAGCTGGACGTGTCGTCACAGGGCCCTTTGACAGGGGTAGCTGCGCTGGCCTCTCCCCTGGAGCTGCCAGCACTGCTCCGTGTTGGTGGCCCGCCATGTCTTGCCCTTGATCACAATCGGCAGTGGTACCTCCTTCGGTAGCCGTGTCGGATACATTGATTGAAGCATCTTGCAGGTCGGGCTGCTTGTTCAGGCTCGCCACCTTTTGGAGCACTCCTAGGTCTATCAGGCTTCGTGGAAGAAGAATGTGCAGGGTGAAGAGAAGAAAGCGTCTGTAGACCTTCATATGCGTCCATAGTTCAATAAGCCTTGTGTGCTCGAGAGCGTGGGCCAAGGCACTGCAGTTGAGCCTGCCTTCTTCACTACGGCACCATCATAACTACGACCGGTGATCTGGATCTTGACAATAAACGCTGGTGTATTCATCCGACGCTGAATGAAAAGAGACTTGTCTTGCTCGTCCGAGCCAGCTCTATCGCTGTCAATGTCCGTCTATCCGGATCCTCCAACGCCGCCCTATGGGGTCCCCATGACTCTAGTTCTCTAGGTCCTACACATTGTACAGAAAATGCTCTCGTTGTTGTACATGGATGCTCTCTCGCTCCCTCGCTCTGACGCTCTGCCCCGTTGCGCATCCAGCCCTTTGTGCGTATCGCGCGCCGCTACCCCCTTCACATGGGCGCTGCCTTCTCCTCGTCTTGCGGGTCCCAGATCGACAACTCCCGCAGTAACCTCTGGTACAAGAACAGCATGCACCCGCTCTGGATGAACGTCCACACGCCGCGGGGACCCACGCCCCGGAACCAGCCCCCGAGGCCCTCGGTCTGGTAAATCACCCTGAGGCCCTTGAGCACAGACATGGTCTTCAGGTTGACGGCGCCGAGGCGTGGCGTGTGCGTCGACGGCGAAGACGTCGAGATGTTGCGCTTCTGAGGATGTGACGCGTGCGCCGTCTTGTTCGTCGCCGCCGCCGCCGCCGCCGCCTCGGGCGGAATGTGCACCTGCGTCTGCAGCCTCGTCTTGACGACGTCGAGCGGACACGTCACTATGCCCGCGAGACCGCCGGCTAGGGCCGCCCGTCAGCAGCTCGAGCGGCACGCCGACCTCGCGGCTTCCTTTGTAGGCGCGCGCCCAGGCGTGGAACTGCTCCCAGAACATGAGCTGCAGCGCGGAGAAGGGCAGGTCGCGGTACAGCGTCGCCTTTGTAGCCGTGGAAGAGCGCCTTGGGGCCCTCCTGCCGGACAATCGTGCGCACGGTGTCCGTCGTGCCGCGTTAGTTGTAGCCCGAGCGGAAATACGGATTGGTTGAGGCGCCTTGGGAGCTGTCAGCCGGCGCCTTGAGCACCTCGGAGGAGAAGTAGACGATGGACGACGCCAGGTCGCCGAGGAATCCTATCGTCAGAGAGTCAGCACAAGCGTCTGGAAAGGGGGGGGGGAGAGGCAGATTGAGAGCAGAGATTCATTCTGACGTACCGGCCGAAAAATAGGCGAGGTGGTGCGGCACCCCGCCATCGATCAACACGCGCTTGCTCCATTCATACGTGCCGAAGAAGAGCATGGTACCCGGAAAGGAGCCGCCGAGGGCGGGTTTCCACCCGCCGTACAGGCCTCTGCGCACGCCCTCCTGCCGCCATATCGTGTAGTAGGATGTGGTGAGGCTGTTGTACTTGGGGGGCACGTGTGGGTCGCCCTGCTGGCGCGTCTTGACGGTGTCGAGGGAGTGCATGAGCATGTCGCCTGTCGAGCCGCCTATGCCGCCGGCGATCATGGCGTGCAGGTAGGGAGGGCGCGCCTCCTCGCCGAGGTCGGCATCTTGGTCGGAGGCGGCGTTGCTCATGGCCTGTGCCTGGGCCTGGGCCTGAGCTGAGAGCGGTGACTGGTGGTGAGCGGCGTCTGGGGTGGTGGGGGTGCCGCGGTATCCAAGATCGGTGAGGAGGTCTGCGCCGGCCGCATGTCGATCGTCAAGAGGAGCCGGTGAGGAGGGCGTCGTGGGCGAGAAGAGACCAGTGATGCGGTCAGCGAGGGACATCGAGGTCGCCCAGAAGATGCGACGCCGAGGATCAACAGCTGGTCGACCGCCGCCGTCGAAAGGAGCGAGATGACTACTCGACGGTCGATTCGGAAAGCAGGAAGATGAAGATGGACGGTGGTCGATGTGGTGAGAGGGACGTTCCGAAGCCGAAGGAAAAATGCGTTGGACAAGCCGGTCGTGATGTCGCCAAGAGGCCTCCCCGGTGGTGATGGTAGCGGGCTGACGTTGCGGGAAGCAAAACTCGGCGCTGAGACGGAGATGCTACGCTGTTGCGGATGCGGCTTTGCTCTGTTCTGCTTGACTGCTTGATAAGAGGCGGACGGTCCAGGGCAGGTTGAAAATTGCTGCAGGGGTCCAATTCCAGGCTCCGTGCCGCGAGTGAGGGTGAGGTCAGCGTCCGCCTCTCCGCACTAGGCCGCCCTTGGCGTCATAGGCCCACAGCCTGCGGTGTCCTGTTGTCCTCACGTGGAAGCATCCTTGCTCAGGTAGAGCACCGTATTTACGAAGACATGTTGTGCCACTGCCGCAGACGACGAGTTGTACGCAATTGAAAGTAGCTGACGATATGACGGATGGAGCTTGTCTTCTAGACGAGTTATAAATCATGCACTCCCAGGGACACAGATTTGTAAACCCACGAAGTCCACTTTGGTAGCTTCTGTCCAGGCTCACCGACTGCTACCTCTCTCGACCCTTGTGTTCCCACCATCGTATCGGCCCAAACTTCTTCAACGGATACAAGAAATGAGTCACCTTGCCCGTCACTAAGCTCATCGGCACCGGTCCATATGTGTTGCTGTCGATCGTCTTGTCCCCATCGCCCTCCACCCAGATATGTCCCTGTGGCACCCGTGCCACTGGCTCCGGATACGGCGCCTTTGTCCTGACGACGTCACCCTCCACCGCGATGATTCTCTTGATAGAGATGGCCTCTGGGTTGTTGGGACTCCTGTGACGACGTCAGCCACAACGTGCCCGGCGCCTCCTCTGAGCCCGGCACCGCTCGCTCACCTGAATGTCACAATCATACCGCGCTCGAGGTCGTACTGAGGCCACCACTTCCACGTGAGGACCTTGTCCTGTAACAGGCTGCTGTTGTAGTCCTCGTTGAAGAAGGGATACATGGATGGTCCGTGGACGTTGTGTATCTCGGCAACGTAATTGTTGAACATGATGACCACGGGGATCCACGTCGCGTACCCGAGCAGGCGTTTGGAAAAGTCTGTGAGAAACGGCCGTGCCGTGAGCCATCGGAGGCGTGCGCTCATGGTGAGCTGCTGCTGCTGCTGCTGCAGATGGAGCTTCTGTCGCCCCTGCCCTTCTGCACAATGATGAAAACCGGGCTGCTAAGTTTCGATCTGGAGTTCGTCATGGGTGAGGTGAGCGAGCTGGGCTCGGATGCGTTACACTACTCCTGGCTCGAAAGGGCTCCTATTTCTTATCTTATCGTACCTAGCTTGTCGCGCTCTCATACTCACAGCCACGTCTCCATGTCGCACCACGAGCAAGTCAAGTCTCTCATGTCCCGGCACGCCATGCTCATCTTTCATTTCATAAAGTACACTGTGTAGAGTTTCATTGTATTCATCAACCCAAATCAGCACTACTTGCAGTGCCCCCCGCGACAATGCTTTTGACGCCCCCGAGACTCCTCTGGGAAGGGTGGGCGCCGGGGGCTGGCAGCCTACCAGCCCCAACCCCGGACCCCAAGACCTGCCCCTGACCCCGACCCTCGCTTTATGTCGAGTAGCCCGTCTACGCGGCATCTAGCATCTATGCTCTCATGTCCGCGCCAAGCCAGATCTCACCCTCCCCCCCTCCCCCCCCCGCTTCCGACTGAACTCCGTGTGCTCGGCGATCGGACATGACGGGCCGGACATTTTTCAAATGTTTTCGTGGAGGCCGTCCCGAGCCGTCGCCGAATGATCGACCGTCATCTCCTCAAACAGTGTCGGGGATGTCATCGTCGCTGCCGCTGACGCTCTCGTCACCGCTGACCTCGGCGTTCTCACGCTCGCGCTTCTCCATCAACGCCTGCAGCTCTGCGTCATCGCTCTCCGTGACGGCCTTGGGCTCCATCTTGACGATCAATTGCCCTCCGGCCGCCTCAATGCTCGTCCTAATGTCAACAATGGCCTCCTCCAGGCGAGTGATGCCGTGGCTCTTGTCGAGGCACGTGCTGGTGAGGACGTAGAGAGGGGGCGACACCAGCTTGACCTTGACCTGGGTCTCGTCCGTGTTCCTCGACTCGGCGGTCCGCAGCGCAGTCTTGACGGCATCGATACCGTCGTAACCGAAGCAGGTGACTTCGACGTCGGCACGGACCTTGGTGGGCTGGGGTGTGAGACGCTTTCCAATGTACGACTTGAGCTCCTCCGCAACCGCCTCCGAGGGGAAGGTGACGTCCTGCCAAACATCGGGGTTGCTACATGTCTCGTCAGCACAAACACGACCTTGTCCAAAAGCAGTTCTCTTGCAAGCCTTACGTGATGGAAAGCTTGAAGGCGTCGATCGCGTGGCCGAACTTCTTGTTGAGCGGCCATGCTATGCTCTCGTACAGGGAGTCGATGGGAGTCAGGGTCTTCTCGGCGACGTGGCGCATGATGGAGTGGACCATCTTGCCTTTGTTGTAACGCTCCTCGCACTTGATGATATCCTCGGGGGACACACGACGCTTGCTGAGATCGATATAACCCTTCTCCTTGTCGACACGAAGCACGACGACAACCTCGTTGCGGCCGACGCGGATAAGCTTCTGGATAGACCTGATACGACGTCTCGAAAGCTCGGAAAGCAGAATCATGCCGTCAATGTTGTCGTACTCGAGTAGCTTGACGTAAGCACCCATCTCGGCAATCTAGAAATTCATGTCAGACATGTCAACAACCTCTTGGAAAACGCATCACATCTCGAAACATGCTTGGGTGGAGAGCATGCAGAGCTCGGCGGTAGCAAACGGACCTGCTTGACGTTGACCCTGGAGGAGCCATGTTAGCATGAGGCCTTTGACTTGAGATGGTGTTCCGGAACAAAACGTACATGACGAACTCGTCAATCTCGGGATACTTGTTTTCGAAGTATCGAAAGTGGGAGTAGTTTGGCTCCGACATGGTGGCGGTTATGCGCGCGTTCGCGACTTTCGGCCTGACTGTGTGTGGTGTTGAAGGAGGGAGGATATGGGGCAAGGCGGGGTGAAGTGGCCGCTTGCTTTCGGGTGTAGCTCGATCGTCTTCGGGGTGGGTTTCCGTCGTCGTTCGTGGTCGAAATGGAATGATCGTGGCGTTGAAAGAAACGGGCAACGGAGAGGTTTGACGTTTTCAAGTCGCGGATGCCGAGCGGGGTTCGGAATTCAGATCAGACAGACAATCGTAGCGTCGGGGAGGCAGGAGTCACAATTTTGGCCGCTCGTCGAAGAAATTGCGGCAGTGATGGTGGGGTGAGGCTTGGTGTGGCTGATGCCCCCAGGTATGGCGGCAACAGCCGGCAACAGCCCGCCAAAGCTTGCGCACGCTGAATGGCAGGCGATCAGAACAATAAGTCGTTATCGCCACGTGACCGATACCCCTCCACCTCTTGTCGCAGTGCAGTCACCCAAGACTAACAGACGCATGGGGCATTTTCAGTGCTGTGAGCTCCAGGGCCGGAGCTAAGTAAACAAAAGCTTCCACGTCGGTGAACAAGCATCACGAGTATCCCCACCTCAGCAACCTGATCATGGCGCCCGGTAGGTTCTCTTCACTGCTGTCTAACGTGATCACTTGGCCGTACGGTAGCTAACAGCGGTCATAGCAACTCAATTCGAGCTGGCGCAACCGCCCAACGATGCCGTCTCGTCCCTCTCTTATGCGCCTCAGAACTCGACAAGGCTCCTGGTTTCGTCGTGGGACAAGAACGTCTACCTCTACGACACCCACTCCGGCACCGAAGAGGCGCAGGGCACGCAGATCAGCACATTCGAACACCGCGCACCAGTACTAGATGTCTGCTTCGGAGCCACCGACAACGAGGCGTACAGTGCATGCCTGGACTGGCAAGCCTACAAGTACGAGTGGCCCCCGTTCTGCCATGCGTGACGGCAAGACTGACCCTTCGCCCGTAGGATCGACCTTGAGACAGGCGAAAAGACATCAATCGCTAAACACAGCGCGCCAGTACGATGTGTGGTCTACAGTCCCGAGCAATGTAGGCGGGCGCTCTTCTCTCGTGCTACCAAGTCATCAAGCTAACACCAGCTAGCCCTCCTCATCACCGCCTCCTGGGATCAGACTCTTCAAATTCACAACACGAAAGACCCCTCAGCGCCCAACCTCATCATCTCCCTCCCCGGCAAGCCCCACGCTCTCAGCGCTAGTCCTTCTAAGCTCGTTGTCGCCATGACCGCTCGCCTCGTCCACATCTACGACCTCACCCCCATCCCCGCCCTGTTCAGTGCCTCTTCTCCCCCCGATATCAAGCCTTGGCAGCAGCGCGAGTCCTCTCTCAAGTTTCTCACTCGCGCCGTATCCTGCATGCCCAATGACGCTGGCTATGCCACCTCCAGTATCGAAGGCCGTGTCGCCGTCGAGTGGTTCGAGGACTCCCCCGAGTCCCAGGCCCGCAAGTACGCATTCAAGTGCCATAGACAAGCCGCCCCTGCCGACGAGAATGGCGCTGGTGCCGGCGATATTGTCTATCCGGTGAACGCTCTTGCTTTCCACCCCGTGTATGGCACCTTCGCCTCCGGAGGCGGCGACGGCACTGTCGCGCTATGGGACGCCGAAGCCAAGCGACGTATGAAGCAGTACCAGAAGTTCCCTGACAGCGTCGCTGCCTTGGCTTTTTCCGCTGATGGCAAGTACCTCGCCATTGGCGTCTGCCCGGGCTTCGAGACGGGGATGGAGGATTACACTGGCGAGGGCAAGGCCAAGGTGTTGGTCAGGGAGCTCGGTGACGCGGAAGCCAAGGGTAAGGGCGCGAAATGAGGGGTGAAGAAACGGGATTCTGTCGCACAGCTGGCGCAAGGCGTTAGGTGGATCGGGAAAGACTGTTTCACAGAAGCAGACGCGGGAGGTCAAAAGCTCCGGTACTTGTTGATACCATATACAGGCAAGTGAAAGATTAACTCATGATGTTTCATGCTGTCTCAAACTCGCGAAAAGGACCAACATCTTGTAGTGGCTTTTGACATGTCCATATGTGTGTCCTCCCCAGCGAACTCTGACGTGAAAAGCAACATCTTGAGTTCCTTGCACCATGAATCTTAAGCAGAGCACAGACGGCGTTCTATCACCATATCCGCCCGCCTTCTACTTGACGTCATAAAACATGCTTGCGACACGTTGTTCGCTGTGGTAACGTCTGCCATGGACTTTTCCTCTGGATCTTCTGGCCGAACGAACAGTGTTCTTGCAACTTACCGATCTTGCCAGTCGACCCAGTATTCGAATACTCTCACTTGCAGTGCCTCTCTCGGGGAATAGCTTTATATTGCGGTCCCGATTATGTCGTGTGTTCCGCATCGGAGAGTTTGTGATTCGTTCATGGGTAGCCGCAGTCGTAGAGTCAAAAGATGCAACCTGTGCAGACGCTTGGCTATCCGTCAACGCTAAGACCCGCCCCGTAGTACTGCTGGCCCGTGTTTGAACGCTTGAGACCAGATCCTCATCTTCGTTGTAGATTGTAAGTTGTTCTTCTTCTTGCCATTTGCCGGTGGACGCCAGATTCGATGCGAAGTCCACCGCTCCCGAGCGACCATCCTCTGAATCCTCCGTGTCTCGACTGCTCCGAGATGTCGAGTCTGACATTGACTCGTCTTGGCTGAGGGACACTGCTTCCTCGTCTTCCTCAGATTCGTGGTCAGGCGTCGCACACCGGAATGCCCGCACCATCTTAAGATCTCCTGTCAACGTGCGACCAAATTGCAGAGGGCTTCGGCGTCGAGGTAGGTTTCTTCTGAACGGACGGAAGACAGTCGACCCCTGTCTTGAAGACGGTCTTTTCTTGAATGAAGATTTCTTCAGAGGTTTGTCACTTCCGGGAGTCATATTCGCGTCCCTGTCAATCATCTCTACTACATTCGAGTGTTCTACGCTAAAGCCACCCTGTCTTGGTCCACATATCTCTTGGTTTGTCGCAAGGAGATCCGGGTCGATCTCGGGCATTCTCGGCTGCCCCTTGAGTCTGGCCAAGGTTGTTCGAGGCGCAGTAGTAATCGCAAGTTGACCCATGCCGCGTATGACGAGCTGCTTCCGTCGCTTGAGACGAAGTTGCTTTCTTGTCGGGACAGATTCCATATCGTCAAAACCATCTCGACAGAGTAGCTCAAGCGCCTCTGGTCTCGAGCGAGTGAGGATGCGGGGCAGCTCGGGCAATCTGAAATCCTCAATCCGTATTTCCCGGTTCAGGGTGGAGGATGCTCTTGGCCGTCCTCGTGGCTTTATTGGCTTCGGAATGATGTTTGCGCTTGATCGGGCTGCGATAGCTACCAAGTCAGGTGTAATCTCCCATACGTCTTATACTAGTCAGCAATGTGGTCAGTTCGAATGCATAAGAACACACCATTCTCTTGCTTGATGGTCGCCTGAGATACCGAGACACGACCGCGGTTTTCATCTGTGCTATTTGTACTGCAGGAAGATTCTTCTTGTCCCTGAGTTTCCGTTCTCGACAAAACCTCGGGCTCTTTGAGATTTTGAGACGTCTTGGAGGGGTTGAAATGGGGGTTGGCCAGTCTGCTGACACTCTGAGTACCGCCCCGGTAGAAGAGAGTCGAGTCTGTCTGACATCGAGTAGCTGCGACTCTATGAGGCATATTAAATTGCAACTAGTAGCCTATTATAATAAGGTGGACTGCATATGAGCTTTGGTTCTGTCCACAGTAGATGCTCAGGTTGAAGAACAAAGAGGGCGAATGTCGTACGCTCAGGGTGTTATGTTGACGGCATCTCTAGATGGGGAGGCACAAGCCGACTTCAAGAAGCTCCCCCGGGTGGCAGAAGCGTTCTACCTGACTCAAGACTGAATTTATAGGAAGTTACCAACCTAGGTAAGGTACCTAGGCAAGAGTATGTGGGTTCCATCTAATGGAATCTGCTCTTAGTTGCACTTGCCTCAACACACGCGGGAATCCACTAACCAAAGGTACCTACCTTCCGCAGATGGCTGCATGCTCACGAAATTGACACAATGCGTGCAGTTGTTAGGAAATGAACGTCTGGAAAGAAGGGCAGCCAAGCATGCCCTCGTTGTGGGGCGGTCCATGTTCTTCGACAACTACTCCTTACATCAGGTGAGGCATTGCAAGTAGCATCGGAAGAATATCATGGCATTTTCTGCCGACTACAGCTCGGTAAAGACTTTATTGGTGCTCAAAAAGCTCGAGGCTTTCACGTCTGAATAAGATGCTGATGTCTTGGCGTCGGTCAGCCATGAGGTATCCCCTAACATGTAGTCCGGTGGAAACGGCGTCCAGCCATGCACGTTGCGGAGTACAATTTCTGTCGGCTTTTCAAATATCCATCTGTCAGGTTACTCAATAAGTTCCTCTCGAACAGAACTCTTACAGGACTCGGTTCGGACTGCATGCACAAAAGCGCATGGTCAACTGCACGGACCAATGTTTTAGCAGTCCCTCGACCGCATGCGCCAACAACGTGTCCCTCCTCGGAGACCCTATTCCCCATCTTTGTTTGACTTGATGGCCTGCAGTATACGTCAGATCGAGGCAACAGAAACATTTAAATTGAAGATCACACCTTCTGCTCCGGCACATAGTCGTAGTGGCCGCCCATGTTCAGCAACCAAACGTTGCCAGGGTGCGAGGGAGCATTCTGCCGCCAGAGGAAGTTATGTGGAAAACCAATGTCGAACGGCACTGCGTCATCAATCTCTCGAATGTCATCATCACTCAGATCGAGCGCCAGTGCCTCAATGTTAGATTTCAGATGGTCGATGGTGCGGCCGCCAATGATGGGGAAGACGTAGGGCGTCTTGTGCATGACGTACGCCAGGGCGACGCTCGTGATGATGGTGTTCTTTCGCTTAGCGATCTTCTCCAGCGCCTGGCTAGTCTTGATTTGCGCCTCGCTGGCCTCGATCTTGCGGCCCTCCTGAGACTTGCGCTGCTCCTCCGTCTTGAAGGTGCCGCCGCCAAGGGCGCCCCAGGGGGCGAGGCCCATGCCCTCTGCCTTGGTCATGGGAATGATCTCACGCTCAAAATCGCGCGAAGCAGCGGACCAGCGACCCTGATAGACAGAGAATTGGCGCAGACCGTGGTTGCGGGCGTACTCGTTCGCTTTGCTTTTTGTCTATCAGTGAGGAGATCCTCTATCGTGAGAAGAACTGTTGGCATACCTAACCACCCACGCCGGGGTGTCACTGATTCCGAGGTAGAGTACCTTGCCGGAGAGCACGAGCGCGTTCAGGCTCTGCATCATCTCGGGGATTGACGTGGAGTAGTCCCACCAGTGGACGTAGAGAAGGTCAATGTAGTCGGTCTGCAGCTTTCGCAAGCTGGCCTCGACAGAGGTGTGAAGACTCTTTGTGCCGTTGCCCGTGAAGTTGGCCATAATATTCGGCGCATTGGGGCCCGCAGCATAGTTGGTCGTGTACTTGGTAGCGATCACTGACGGAGGATTAGGTCTGACTCGAACATCTTCGGGCTCACCAGAAATGCATACCCATCTGATCTCGGACATTTCTCTTCTTCATCCATTCTCCAATCCAGGTCTCTGACTCCTCGAACTGGTAGTTGTTCGCGGTGTCGATGAAGTTGCCGCCCTTTACACCGTTAGTGAGTGCAGAAGAAAGGAGGAAAGGTCAGCCATCTACCTGACTGTAGAAATAATCAAGGATGTTCTCGACTGTGACCTGATCGCAGCTTCCCATCCAACCCGTCCAGGCGTCGCCAAAGTTCATGGAGCCAAGGCACAAAGGGCTCACTCGAACGGAAGCAGTGGGTGAGAGAATCCTGTAGCGAGCAAGCGCGCTCTTGGGAGGCGGGGCCATGGGAAGTGCCGACATTCTCGCAATTGTTCAGATACAAGGGGTCAGGGTAGGTGTGCTTTGCTTGTTAAATAGCTAATGTTTAGGTGTTCCAGGGAGTAGAGCTTTTTGGGAAGTCTGGATCGAATGGGGCGTATGAGCAAAGGGGATAGAGAGTAAACTAGAAGATCCTGGGGAAGGTAAGTGCAAGCTTTATAGTCAGAAGTTGCCTCGGGACCAGACAAACGGCAACTACGATGCCGACGGGGAATGGTGAAGCAAGACACTCGACCTTAAGGAGGGGCACGCAACAAGGCCGACCCTAAGTTACCCACCTGTGGTACCTTAGGTAGGTACGTAGGTAGGCAAGTAGATGTGAGTATTGAGAGCCGACTGTTGTACATGCCATTGAACTCCTTGCCCCTGTTCTTCTAAGCCTTCGCCCAAGGCCCAGTTCAGCTGCCGATGGAGCTGTAGGAATGATCTCATTACTTGTAGCTGGCCCCCTTTTCATGCTTCTCACTACAAGAGCAGCACACCGCTCAGAAATCCACCAAGTGAACATGCATGTGTACACCATCCAGACCAGTCTCGTTGTTTAGCCTAACACCGGACTAAACTCCGACCATGATCCTCATACCTTGATGAAGCAGATGAATGGCGGGGTGAGTGATGCGGGGTGGTTCGGCTGTCAATCCGGCTGTCAATGACGCTTTAACAGAAACGTACCTGAGGTTTAGTCTAGGTACTTTTGCCGTAAATAATGCGGCATGGTACCCGGAAGTGGAGTGGAGCTACATTGCCCACTGAATGAGGAAGCGACGAGACTACGTATTCTCATGGTTGATTCAGCAATCGAGCTGAGGCGGCGCCCTGATGCATCTGGCCTACAGCGAAGCTCTACGGAAACCTCACCCAGCTTCATTCAGGGTTAGCACCCTATTAAAGGACGCACACACACACGTAGCCGTGTACGGGACCATCGAGAGATACACGAGTTCATCATTTCAATAGAATATAGCAGGCTTTCATTTGCTTTTGCTTTCGAAGACGAAGCACTTACCACGACAGTTGCCCTGAACGTGGTCAAGGCAGGTGGCTGTCACGGTCTACAATTAATCCCGATTGTTCTGCTAGCCAAGGCAAACCAATAGCGGGTGAACCTCCAACTGATTATGAAGGTCATTCATGGCATATAATTGAGTACTGCCGCGGCATGGCAAGTTACAAGACCGTTTTACAAGTTCATACTTGCTGCAGAAGAGACTGGGGATTCCCCCTTTCAATGCCGTACGTTAAGTAAAGTGTCGGAGTTAGCAGCGGGGTTGGTCTGCGCAACTAAAAGCACCATCTGCTGACTATGCTTCACTTACTCTTATCGATTCAAAGGAATACACTAGACAATCCTTTTCGGATAGTCCTGCTATAATCAAAACACTTGGTAGCAAAAGCACGTTGCCGCCACCCGTGATGGGGAGGCTTGGGAGCATGCACCACTTCTTCAAGCCGACCAGGATTCCGAACCAACACGGGCACGGACCACTATCCCGATGACTAAGAACTCCAGACTCCAAATTCCATCGATGGGTCTTGCAAAACGTACGACGGCCATCAAAGCGATGTCGTAAACCCTTCTGACATTCGACAATTGCAATCACCATCCCGCACAATCGCTACCGACCCTCGTCCCTGCTTACAGGAGATGACCCGATAATCAGAAATTGCCGATATGGCACATGACGACCCTTCACCATGTCGTCTCCTGCCCCCATCCCATCGAAAGCTGCCATCCATGCCCTTCGCGGGCTGCTTTTCGGCACATCTTGCTCCATTGTACTGCTTGCAGAAGAGAGACGGCGAAGAATAAGCATAGCTCGAGCGGCGGTCGAGAACGGGAGGAAGCTCAAATCATTAAGATGCTACACCACAGCCGGCAGTTCGGCCCTCGAAGCATTGCAAGAAGACGGCACGTCAGACTCGATATTTATCAATCGGTCTTTCTACTCGAGGACCGACCCTTACGCTAGAAATGTCGCCTTTTCTGAGCAGGAATGGCCTGCACGACAACAAAAAAGGCGCTGATGTTTTTGGGCCCGGCCCCCCCCCCCGACCCCCAAGTTGAAG